GCGGCGATCTTCTGCGGCCCCGGCGAGTGGGAGGTGCTCAGTCTCTGCTCAGGTGACCGCGCGGAGGGGCCCCGCCGGGACCGGGAGCCGTGGGGGCAGCGGGAGTGGGGCCACCCCGGAGCGGCCAAGGTCGCTCCCCGCTGCGAGTGGGAATCGGAGGCCCGGCTCGGGCGCCCCTCCGGCGGGTCCTGGCCACCCGCGCCCCACGTGCCCGCCCTGCTCCCCAAACTCCGGGAGCGCCCAGCCCCGGTGCTCGCGGGGGGGGGGGGGTCCCCTCCTGGAGGGCGCTCCCCGCACTTACTCCAGCTCCCACCTTACAAAGGGGCCTGACCTGAGCCCTAGTCCCGGGCTCCCAGCCTTTCACGCCCCGCCCCGCTGAGCGTCGCCAACATCCTGCTGCCCCTCCCCCCATAGACTTCTTATTCATAAAGTGAAGCCTAGAAGGCCATGAACTTGTTAAAAAAGTAATAATAGGAAGTGCTATGAAAATATAACAAAGTTTCGAAACATACCATAGAGAACTGAAATGCATAAATGTGTCACAATATATATTTACATCCTGTATATGAGGCCCCTAGAACCATCAGAAATGCAAAAAATTCACGGTGAATAACTCATTCTCGAGTTGCCCCTTAAACAACACATTGCCCCGCGGGGCTGGGGTGGGGGCGTGTGCCCTTGTCTAAATCCCCGCCCCCAGTCGCATTGCCGGGTGCGCCTGGTAAGCTCCAGGCCCGTGTCCTCTGTATGGTGTGTGGTTGTCTCCGGGAGCTGGAGGGCAGGGTCTCTGGCTTTGTAATCACCTGCACGCAGTAGGTGGTCAATAAATGTTTGCTTAATTTTCTTTTTCTTTGTTAATTCTCACCCGATAATATTTTTCCATTGATTTTTAGGGAGAGTGGAAGAGAGAGGGAAAGACCGAGAGAAACATCGATGTGAGAGAAACACATCGATGGGTTGCCTCCTGCACGCGCCCCGACCAGGGTCCCGGGCCGGGGAGGAGCCTGCAACTGAGGTATGAGGTACGTGCCCTTGACTGGACTCGAACCCGGAACCCTTCAGTCCGCAGGCTGACCCTCTATCCACTGAGCCACCCGGCCAGGGCTGTTTGCTTAGTTTTTGAATTCGGGCAGCGCTCGCCCTGAACTTTTCCCTGTTACGTTTCCAAGTTGATTGCTTTGCTTACACTTTGTCTAGTCCCCGGAAAGGTAGGTGTCCGCCGTGGGCTCTGGGGCGCGTGCCTTGTTCAGCCCACACGTGTTGGTTCCCTGGGTGCACACACCGTGTCCTCTGAGCTTACGGCCTAGAAAGTTCTGGCAGCCGGTGTGGTGGCAGCGAGACTTCCTCTGTCCCGCCCGCGGCCTCTGCGGCAGGACAGGGAGCGGAGAGGGAGCAGGCTGCAGGAACGCCCGTTCTCGCTGCACTGGCAGACGCATCACGGATGTTTTCCGTGGATTCGGCCTGCTTTCCCGCGGCAGCTCCGAGGCCAGTTGGCTTCCCGGCCGCACACGGCTGACCCCAAGGCCGTGCAGGATGTGCCGGGTGGTGAGGAGCCGCCTGCCTCCCGCCTCCACGGGGCCTGTGCGTGGCTCCTCTCACGGTTCCTTCGTCCCCCCCTACTCGGGCTCACCCCGCACCCGTGTCCCCGGCACGGGGACCCGTCCGTGTCACGGACCTGCTTTCTCTGCAGAGCGAGCCTGCCTGCGTCTTCCGCACACGGTCGATTACAGTCCACACGCAAGGCTTGG